TGTTGATCATGTAGTCCATCATTGATGGTTTGTCCGGAACCAATACCGCCATGCACAGTTGTGTAGTGACATCAACTGCTGTTAAGACTGGTATGGTCTTCGGATCTTGTCGTGATTTGATGTAGGCAAAATCCACTTGCATGATGGGTTGTCGTGATTGTTGTTTCTTGTAGTTGTCCTGGCGTCCTTTGCCTTGCACGCAAATTGGACACCACTTTCTGTATGGTAGGTGTGTCAAGTTGTGCTCTGCTATTTGTTGTGGAGTTGGTTGTTGAGGTTGTCGGAGTCCTCTTGCTTTGTGTGCTTCGTGATGTTCGTGGTATTGCTCTTCGTCGTAGTCCTCTTGGAGGTATTCGTAGTCTTTCTTGATGGTGAACCTTGTTGTGCCTTTCCATTGGAATGGTAGTGCGGCATTGCCCGTGACTGTCCAGTCATTTGCGTTGTGAGACTTCGCCGAAGCTGTCGTTTGAGATTGTAGTTCGGAAGGGTTCGAGAGTGTTGATTGATGGGTGTCCTGGTCCATCTGTAGGTGTGAACAATGTGGTTCGTAGTGTGACGTGATGTCTTATCCAGTGTTCACCTTGTCTTTCCCAGTAGTCTTGGTTGTCTTCTTGTGCCGTTGGTGGTCGATGTATCGTTGGTATTGCTTGCGTAGTGTCCAATTCTATGGATGGAGCTGCTTTGGGTCTCCATACCTTTGGTGGAGTTCGTAGTTGTAGTTTTGGTTTTGTCGTAGGTGTCTCTGTTGTAGGTTGTGGTGCTGAGCTTTGTCGTGGTGGTGTTGTCTTTGTGGTCAGCCTATGTGTAGATGTGACTTTTCTTCGGAATCTGGTTTCTCCAGTCCAGTCATCACCTTCAAGTCTTCTTTGTAGTTCCTGTTTGGAAAGTTGTTTGGTGTTCTCTTGTAGTTGCTCTTGTTTTGCCCTTGTCTATTGATGATGGTTAGTCGCCAATCATCTAGTTGTTCTTCTGGTATTGGGCATCCGTTGTTGTGTGGTGTGAACAGTGCTTTGCGTGGTCGTTTGTGGACTCGGATGGCGTAGTCACCATCGAGTTTCCAGTAGTCAGTGTTTCCACCAAGGATTCGTCTTAGTCCTTTGTCTGTGTGGGTTAGTGGTGCAATTTGTTCTTGTCGTTGTTGTTGTTTTGTCTCATGCGTAGGCTGGATTACAGCAATGGATTTTCCATTGTCTGTAGTCATTGGGTAGATGTCGTGTCCTGTAGGTATGTTGATCTTTTCTGCTCGTAGGTAGAAAAGTCCTGAGTGTCGAATAAGCTGTGCTTGTTGTTGTCCATGTGAGATAGTGCAGTGTCTCGGGTTGAAGTCCAGTCCATATCCTCTATCAAGTAGTCTTGATGCACTGAGGATGGGGTACTTCACATCACAGACGTAGTAGGGTATCATGATCCTGAGGTTGTCCTGCTCGTAGGGAACGTACTTGATGCCGTAGACGGGGATCTTCTTGTTGGTCACAGTGTAGAGTTGTGGAACTGATTCTCCACAAGGTCGTAGTGGAAGATCCGGTGCGTAGTCCTTTGGGCAAACATGGGTAGACGCTCCTGAGTCAATCAGTAAGTGGTGGTAGGACTTGAAGTTGGAGTACATAATGTAGTGAGTGATGTTGTTGTCAAGTTTTCCTCGTTTCTGTTGTTGTGTTGCTGCTGCAATGTTGAGGTTTATTTGAGGTCTGTCCTCTTGTAGGTACTGTTGATAATTGGTGCTGTGGTCATTCCATGATGTTGTATGAGTTGCTCTTTTCCCAAGTAGTGATTTGGGTTTGTGCTTACATTGTAGCGGTCTTCCTTGTCTGATGTGTCCTATGGTGAGGTGCGACTCGTTGATGCCTCCGACGTAGTTTGCTTCACCTTCATGACTGTAGTCATTCCAGTCCCAGCTGTTGTCGTTCCAGTCGTAGTCGTTCCAACTCTCCTCCATGTAGTTCACATCATGCCCATGTCCTTCTTCTCCTTCGTAGTACCAATCCAAAGTGTCGTGCATGTCTTGAGGTAGTTCCTCATTGTTGTCCTGAGTTTCTGGTTCTTGCTCAGGATGTTGTACCCGAGGCCGACGCCCTGGCAAACAACGGTCAGGGCCCGCCCTCCATCACGGGTCGTTTGCGCAGCGCGGCCGACGGAGCGCAGGCAGCAGCGGACCTCGTGGGCGCAGGAGCAGCAGGGCTCGCGGCAGCGCAGGCCTTCCGCTCCCAGCTCCCCCAGGACGCAGCAGAGTACGTGCGCCTGAACGTGATGCCCCGTCTGGGCCCGCAGCCGCAGCCGCCTCCGCAGATGATAGGTCGACCCGACGACGTCGAGCGCCTCCCGGACGAGGCGGGGCAGCGCGCGCAGGAGCTGGAGCGACAAACCGGCACTCTGCAATCCTGCGCCCAATGGCCAGGTTTGCCACATCTGTGGCATGTCATGTAGTTGCTGTTTCCTTTTGCTTTTGATTTGCCGTAGTTGCTTTGGCCTTTGTAGCCTTTGCTTGATCCGTAGCCTTTGGATCCGTAGCCTTTTCCTTTTCCTTTGTTGTAGCCGTTCTTGTTGTATCCTCCTTTGTTACCTTTGTCAAATCCTTTGTAGTGGCCTTTGCTTCTGTACTTGCCTTTTCCGTTGTTTCCTTTGTAGGATCCTTTGCCTCCATATTTGCTTTTGCCTTTGTAGTTTCTTCCTTTCCTCCAAATGTTGTCCACGTCCATGGGTGCTGTTCCACCATTGTAGTTTGTGCCAACCGCTGAGCTCGCTCTTGAGAATGCAGATATGGTCTTGTAGTAGTCCAGGATGACAACTCTGATCTCGTTGTAGTTCGTGATCTGTCCAGCACGTAGTTGGAGATGTTGTTGAAGTGCTCCTTTGGTCTTGTTGAGTAGTATTGCAATCTTCACTCCATCTGGTAGTGCTGTGCCGTTGTCTTTCTCGTAGCGGTTGATGTCATACTCCCACTGTAGGAATTGTTCTTCAAATTGTGCTTCATTGAATGTAGGTTCCAGTAGTTTGGTGAGGTAGCCAACACTGCGTGTTCCTACTGGTAGGCTGAACCTGTTGTGCAAAAGCCGTAGTGTTTCACATCCATTGGCATTGTAGCGGTTTTGTCTGACCACTGTAGCTGCTGCACCTTGGCAGATGTTGATGAGGATGTAGTGTAGATCTCGTGAGAGGTCTACTGCTTTTGCTGCCTGTGTAGGGTCGCGTATGTGGGCTCTGATGTCTGCATCTTCAATTTGTCTTGTAGCTGCTTGTGCTAGTTGTAGTACCATGTCGAAGTCTCGGTCGATGAGTCCGAGGTATGCTTGTAGTTTGAACAGCCACTCTTCGTACTGTGAGTAGTCACCAGTGAAGAACGGTGGTGGCAGTTTGTATTTGTGTAGCCTTTGGACGTCTTCCTGCTCCTGTGTTGTTCCCGTAGTTGTGGCTCCTATTGTCACCTCTGCTGTGGGCCCGTTGTCTGCTCCTGTAGTTGGTTGTACCACGTTAAAATAAGTCGATACTTTACTACAAGTGCAAATGTTGTTCTTGCTGTCACAAACACAAATGTAGTTTCCCAGCATGCACTCTTTTCCTTGTAGACTCAAGGCCTGCGGTCGGGTAGTGTACATCATGCATGTACAAGGGACAAGTAGTACAGCATGATATTTGACATCTGTCTCTCTCTCTCTCTCTCTCTTTGTTTCTCCCTCTCTCCCTCTTTCCCTCACTCTCTCTCCCTCTCTCTCTCTCGCCCTCTCTTTCTCTCTCCCGCTCTCTCTTTGTCTTTCTCTTTCTCTCTCTTGCTCTTTTTTTTTCTCTCTCTCTCGCTGTCGCTCTCCCTCTGGCTCGCTTTGGGTCTCTCTCTCTCTCTCTCTCTCTCTCTTGTCTTTTTTTCTCTCTCTGTCTCTCTCTCTCTCTTTTGTTCTCTCTCTTTCTCTCTTTCTCTCTTTCTCTCTTTCTCTCTTTCTCTCTCTCTCTCTCGTTTTGCATTGGAGCGTCATGTCCCTCCTGAGCTGCTTCGATTTCCCTGCGCTGCCCTCCTGAATTGTGTTCTCACTACTGGTGTCACGTCCTTTTCATGTCGTATCATTTTTGTTCGGTATACCCGCTTCATTTTCCATGTATGTCCGTGTCCTTGTGTTCCTCTTCCTTTGTTTCCCTTTCATTCCCTTCACTCCCCCTGCATGTCTCATGCCTTTCCCCTTCATTTCCCTTTCAGTTCCCCTTCGTTTCCCTTTCATTTCCCGTTGCCTTCCTCTCATTTCCACTCCACGTCCCCTGCATGTTCTTGCATTTCCCTCTGGTTCCTGTTCATGTCCCTTCATGTCCTCTTTATTTTCCCTGCACTTCCCTTGCATTTCCCATTCATTCCCCAGTTTATTCCGAAAAAACATGGTAGCTATTAACGCTTTCGCAAAAAGGATGTCAACAACACCAAGATTTTCAAGGTTTTCAGCAAAAGGAGGCGGAAAACCCGAACCAGCAAAGAGCCGGTATGGGGATTGCAGCGTGGGACCCTTGTTTTGCCGCACCGGCTCCCCGAAGACTATTTTAGTATAACGTCACCAAATTGCCGCGTGGGACCCCCCCTGTATTTGACGTGTCCAGGGGGATCTATCCTCTACCCGGTCTTAGGTGTTTGACACGCCGAACAAGCACTATGTTTGTTCGTGCGAAAAGTCTACGAGTAGGACGCGCGAGTGTTCGTCCACTCGTCCACTGTCCGCTCGCTGGCCCGCTCCACTCATTTGCTCGCGCAGCGCAGGGATGCGCAGCACCGCTCGGCTCCAACAGAACCTAACCTTTGATCGCCTCTTCGCAGGGGGTTGGCGGGCCGAGTTTTCCTTCCTTTCCCAAGCCCAACCTTCTACCCGTCCAAGGGCAGCAATCCTTGTGGCACCCGTTCACCCCCGCTCTCTTTGCGGGTTTCCCAATGAGGTTTTGTTCGCTTGTTGTTCTTCTTGCCAAACATGATGTTTTGCGGAGTCAGGTTTGAATTCCGCTTCCCGATCATTCGATCTGCTCGGGTCGCTCAGGTTGCATCTTTCAGCTGCCCTTTCTGACCCAACTCTTTCTCAGTCGCAACAAATTCGAGGGTTCCATCCCAGAGATCGGAGCCGAGTATCTCTCGGTGCTGAGCTTGCATCGGAATCGCGCCTCGGCTATCCGGGCAAGGGCACTCGAGCGGCTGATGCTCAACCCGCTAGGTCATAACCATGTAATATCTGAGGTTAGGCGTAGTCCGCTTACAACCATGGACCTGGTTTGGGTTGAACATCCAAGCAGGTCACTTAGAGTGGGACTTATCCTCATCTACTGTGGAGATGACAAGTCGCATCCGGGGTTAGTTCACTTGCCGAAGTTCAATGTCTCTTGCGGCAGACTGAATATTGACAGCTGCCCACATCAGGCATTTTGGGAGTCATCGATTGCATCCTTCAGATTAAGATGTTGAGTCGAACCACCTCCCTATGGACCAGGTTGCTTGTGGCTTTCCAAGGGCCGCGTCTCAAATTTAGGCGTGAGCGTGCCAGGTTTTCAATCTAGTCAACTAGGCCAGAGTTTGTCTTTCTTCAGAGTGAACCCACATGGGGATGGGAATTTGAGATTTTTGCCCAGACCGTCTGCTTGGCAGCCAGCTACCAAAAAAGAGTTCCGAAACCGACCCAAGAGGAGTTCCAACCCAGCAAGAAGGCAGGCTCAGTTGACCATGGACATTTGGGTTGCGATGCCATTTGCTGTGATACCCAGCGGAGCCCTATCAAAGTGCCGACGTCATGAGAATGATTGGCCCGTACTGGTATAACACACAGCTTTCCACAACAGAGGCGGGTCTGTCTCTTTTAGGGGGTCTCCAATTTTAGTTGGTTTGAAAGAGGAGCCACAAGGAAACACTGCCTCTGAGCACGGAAGCTCCCCCAGACCACTGGAAATGGGTCACCAAGTCCATTTCGGGTCCAGGGAATCTCCTTGGAAGCCAACCATGTTTGGCAGTGGCCGAAAGGCCTGTCGGGCGCCCTGCCGGCCTTTTCGCACCTCTCTTTCCTGGCTGTGCTGACGCTCCACGACAACAGCTTCTCGGGATCCATCGGAAACATGGAGCTCACGTCGTGCTGCATGGACAACCCCCACTTCAGGCCGAAGTTGGAGAGCTCCCATTGCAATTTTCCCCTTTGCACCCGGTTTAAACATCACCCTGGATTGCCAGTTGCTGTTTTTTTCCATGCACTTTACCCCCAAAACCAGCAACAGTGACTGAAACAAGCAGCAACTGGCTATCTAGGACGTCAATTTATTTGTAGATGAGTCGCTTGAAAAAAAATCACTTTGGATCACGCCCTGATTGAACATGCTTAACTCCACTTCAGGCGAGCTTGGAGGCATGCAGACTTGGCCGGGCACCCGTGCAACACATAATTGAAAAATGAGCCAAGAACGAGTTTTGACCCAGTCCATTGGCACCCTGAATCTCCCTTGTTTGTTTGGTGGCTTCCGAAGTCACGACAGAGCAGCTGTCAGGGACTCGGGGCTTTCCTGTGTGGAGATCATGCATGCCTTGCACCTGTCCATCAGACTCAAGCACTGTGAAGAGCTGAGCCGCCTCGAGCTGAATGCTAGACACTCGCAAGCCAGCTTTCGAATCGTTTTACCGCATCCAGATGGAGGTTTTTTTTTTGTTTTCTCTGTGTAAAGGGAAGTGGAAAGGAGAACCACTATTTCGCTGCTACCACCATTGTGGCACGTACCCAAATGTATTCTATTTCAGTTGTAGCGTCCATTAGGGTAAAGAACCTAGTTGGGATCTAGCTCCCCTAATTGACCGCTCAGACCCCAAACTTAGGTGCTTCCAGCCCGCTCCACTTGCCGCAAAGGGGGCCATTTGATACAATCTTATTACATCCAATAGAGAAGTGGAGCATGGTTATAGCCAAGGAAATGATTCCCAGTTGGGGCCGAGGTTTTACCGCACTGAAGGCTGGAGCAGGCCACACGCAAGCAGGGACCCGCCGAATTGCCAGCTCCACGGAGAGCATGTTCAGGGGAATAGGAAATAAGAAATCAACAATATGGATACGAAGCTAAGTTTAGACAGTAACGCAGTCATAATATATCATGTATACTGTATCATTGTTTGTTATACTATTGATTGATACGGTCCCAGTGGGTCCCCGGCGGTTCCACTTCCGGTTCGTCCAACTGGAGGTCCCCCCCCTTTTTTTCGGATTCAAAAAAGGTGAAACACATCATCTGCCGTGTACGGCATTTGAATGAACTTGCTCAAGGCACTTGTTTGGATTTGTCGATTCACTTTCACCGGGCACACACAATACTACAAGTTCAATTTCATTTCTGCGTGCTGAAAGTACCCCTAACAAGGGCTGTCAGGAGTTTCGTACCGGTTTAGCATTCAGTGAATTAGGAGCAAAAGGAGAGAGGCCTGTGTTTGGATATTGGTCTGACAACATATGTTCATACGGGTATATGTATTAATAAAAGAAAGTGATTATTGAAAGAACAAATAGGAACAGACACACATAGAAAGAAAGAGAGAGAGAGAGAGAGAAACAGGACAACTTCACAACAAACTTCAAGATATTCAACCTTTAAAGATGGAGGGGGATAGCATATGAAGCAGCGGGTCCTTTTGCCATGTTGTGTGTTGTGCCTGCGTAGCGGCTCTTTCTTACTGAGGCTGAAAATGCACGAGTTCAACCTGCCCTCAAGGATGTGTTGTGGGCGGGACGAAACTTGTCAGTGTCTCGAGCACAATCAAAGTTATGTGAACGATGGAAAGGGAGAGTCCCAACCATAAACAGGTGCGACCGCCCTGGTACTTTCCATGGGACGTCTTGGGTTGGACTTGAATACCGGGTTTTGATTGCGGCTGTGGTTTAACCACCCCACTCCGCCGGACCTAAGGCCGGGTGTTGCGCAACTGCCCCCTCTCCTGTGGGCTGTGCACGGATATGGCGGACCCCCCGCGGGCCACCTTTCACCACAACCGCCTGTCCTGTGAGGCCTCAGCTTTTTTCGGTCGAGGACATGGGTTCCTTTACCCGGGGCGCGGTTCATAGAAGGGGCCAGATGGGAAAGGGTGCGGATGTATTTTGGGATTGTGTTTCCTCTTTTTTTTTCGATTTTTTTTTCCGATTTTCGTCCGGACCAGTAAAATGTTGTTTTTTGCAGCATTTTCTAGCATTTTACCGTTTTCAACATCTCCCGCATGTCCGACCAACATCCCTAGCATAACCAACAAATCGTGGGTAACAAAATTGAAAGAGTAGCTGGCGGGTTGACGGGGTCAAAAAATGATGATTCAAATAGGAGGGCATTTCAGTCCCTGTAAAAAGATCACTAAAAAGTAGCGGGGGGTTGGGGGGGCGGCAGCCCCCCCCATGATGTTCGAAGAACTGATGATTTAACTAGGGGGTGCAATTAAATCTCTGTAGAAAATCTAAAGCGTAGTGGGGGGGTTGGGGGGGGCGGCAGCCCCCCCCATGATGTCGGAAGAAGTGATGATTCAAGTAGGGGTGCAATGATTCAAGAATGGGTGCGATAGAATTTACAAGGCAGCGGGAGGGTTGGCTGGGGTGGCTTCCCCTATGATGTTCGAAGAAGTGCATACATACAGACATACATGAATTACACAGATTACCTAAAATAACGTATTTTGCAGCATTTTCTCGCGAAATTGGACGATATTGGACGCTCGAAAAAGAGATGATTCAAATAGGGGTGCAATTCAATCTCTGCAAGAAATCTAAAAAGTAGCGGGGGGGTTGGGGGGGGCGGCAGCCCCCCCCCCATGATGTTTGAAGAAGTGTTGATTCAAATAGGGGTGCAATTACTCTGCAAACAATCTAAACAGTAGCGGGTGGGTTGGGGGGGGGCTTCCCCCCCATGATGTTCGAAGAAGTGATGATTCAAATAGGGCGGAATGGGTGATGCTGATGATGCGGGAAGCCAAATCCAAAAACCAATGAAAGGGTTCAAAAGCCAAAAAGCCCAGAGAGGAACTGTGAAGCAGAGGATGCGAAAAGCCAAAGCCGCCAAAAGCCGCATAAACGCAAAAGCCAAAATCTGCCGAAGAGGAACTGGGAATGCAGAGGATGCGAAAAGCCAAAGCCCAGAAGCCGAGAAGCCAAAAAGCCGAAAAGCCAAAAGCAAGAAAAGATCCAAAAAAACTCGGAGAACAACAAAAATGGAAAAAACTAAAATAAATACCCCTCCAATGGGACATGACATGATTGCCCCACAAGCAGGAGGCAGTTTGGCTCAAGAGGCCACAAGCCTGCTGTAGAAATTCAGCCCCTTATGTTCTCTTACAAGATTGCCAGGCAGTGGTTCCCCAAATTAATCTTTAATGCCGCCTTGGGACAAAAATGCCCCGCCCGAAAGTTGTGTGTGTCTTTTTTGAGGGCACCATTTGTAGCTATAAAGGGGCCCAACATGAAAGCCGACCATGTTGGTCCCCCACTTTTTTTCAGGCCTGGACATCGGAAAGGCCAAACCAGGGAAGAGCGACTTGTTGTTCGCCTGAGTGGACTGATGTACGGGGTGGTCCGGGTGCGGGACTGGTGCGCCGCACCCGGTTCAGACTTGGGAAGTGGCTCGGAAGGATAGGTCAGAGGCAAATGCATGGAATGGTTTCACTCTCCTTGAATTGGAGTGGCAAATGAGTTGGGGACGGGTCTTTAGTTCCCGAAGGGCTAGACCAGTTTGATTGAATCCGATTCGAGCCAGCCAACGAAAGCCATTTTTTTCGGGAATCATGGAAAGGGATGGTCCAGCAAGGGATGGTTCAGCAATGCCAACCCTTGCGGAAAGAGACTTGAAGGACCAGCAATACGGAACGGGCAACAGCCACCTGGCGTCGAAGCCAGGCCTTCGACCGTCAGGTGGCTGAATCCAGGCCTTCAGGAGTTTTTCGGGGATGGTGTCTGGCAAATTTGCCACTCGACGGGTGCGACTTGATTTTGGGATGTTTGTAGGTTGAAACCCATGCATCCTTACCAGGGTGTGTGGATGTCTGTGT